CAAGAATTTCAGACTCCATCTGAAATTTATTTTTTCCATCTAATAGAAAAAATGACATCTATGGATGCTCTTAAATAAATGCATTATCTTTAAATAATCTTGAAAGTAGAACGTAAGACGAAGACCAGGTCACCAAGGTTTATACCTCCTTGAAAATATGGACATCAGCCACTTCATTCCTCCGTCCAAGAAGTTTTGAATGAAAAACCTAAGCACTGAAATTTATGGTACGCGAATGGATGTCAACTGCTAGATTTTCCTTTCTAATCAACGGGGAGAAAACTGTGTTGATTATAGGGCTAGATATGGTCCGATTCGGTTCGATGCTGAAGAGAACCGAACCAGGTATTTATTAAGCGGAATCGTCGGGTCCAAATTTAATTTTGGAAATGTTCGGGTTCGGTTCGATTATATTTGGTTCTCGGATTCCATACAGTAATTAATTTTTTTATATTTACAACACTACATTAATTCAATTATGACATATTCAATCTTAATTCTTATAAAATAACGTAGTCCAATATGGCAATATCTTTTGTACATTTTTTTTGTTGAGTTTCTCATAGATTTGACTGTTAAAATCACAGAAAAATGAAGATAGTGAGCTTACAATAATAGAATGACGGAAACGACTCTACGGTAGAATAAGAGATTTTGGTAAAATTTAGATCAATTTGATTAAGTTGGGTTTGGCTGAAAATTGAAAATAGTAAAATCATATTTTAGTTAGTAACTTCATTTAGAAAAAAAAAATAATTTGACTTATTTTAGATAAAAAAAATATATAAAAATCAAGGAGATTTGATTCTTATTCGGTTCTAGGTCTAGAACCGAGAACCGAACCAAAGCTGTCGGTTCTCAATTTAGATACTCGTTCAAGTATTTAATTTAATTAGGAAGAACTGCTTTGTTCAGTTCAGTTCGAATCTGGTTCGGTTCAGATCTGGTTCGTTTCAATTCGGTTCGAGAATTTTGTCCAATTTTAACATAATTTCCCCTAAACTCAATTTTAACCACACATGGAAAGCATTCGTGACAGCTCCCTGTTACTCTATGTTCTGCTCGAAAGATAGAAACACGGGTATTCTCATGTAATTCTCAACTGCCTAACATGATCCTATCAGAAACCATGGCCTATCTCACGAGGGACTACAAAAGGTGAGTAGGATGACAACATCGATATTGCCCAGTGCAGAGAGAATCTGGGCACTACCACCAGCAAATAGTCTGAAACTTAATGTTGATGCTACTGTTGTCAGAGTTTGATGACTAAGAACTGACTGGCATGATGAAAACGAAAAATGGAAGCTGAAATCTTTGACTGAGCGGAAAGGGTTATATTACATATTTTTCCTCAAATAGTCTGAAACTTAATGTTGATGCTACTGTTGTCAGAGTTGATGACTAAGAACTGACTGGCATGATGAAAATGAAAAATGGAAGC